ATGAACCTTGTTTATGTAATTCTTTGTTTTGCGTACAATAGTAGGGTCATAATCACATGACCACATGGTACACACAAAAATACAAAAAAAATTTTTTTTGGCCCTATACAGTTTTTGACAACAGTATGGAAATCCCTTTAGTAAAGGTTTTGTGATTCGTTTACGATACTCCATTAATAAATGCTTCATGAACTGTCTGGCTTGTTGTTGAACATTTATACAGTTCAGTGCTTTGGGCTACTTTTATAAAATTTTATATGGTGTTATAAAATGTTGCATATTTTAAGTATTGATTAGGTTATTACCGAACCCTTTCACCACTGTAGACCATAATGAACCCATCCAGATCTATTAACGGTAGAGTCTATTAAAACTATGAAGGGTTGAAAGGGATAATGTACTTTAAATGTATTTTTTTTTTTTTAATTTCCACTTAAATGTGCATGATCATGACTGTTTCCATGTGACTTTTAAAAGATACATATTTACCGTAATATCATTAGGCTTTTAAAATTATTCCATACTTATTTGAACAATGGGGCGTTTCATGTTCAAACTACAAATATTATAGCTAACGTTACAAAGAACTATACTACGTATGACTCTCATAGACTAATAAACTTCTTTGAAAGTACTTAGTTTTGTTCTCTCGTAACAAAGCAACATCTGTGTTAAATTGGCATTCTGTTTTTAACCTCTGACCTTTAAATAAACACAGCATATATATATATACAATGCAAGACTTTAACAGTACATATGTTATTGTTTAAAACTAGCCCCCCTCACCCTCACCCACAGAAAAAAAATAGGATAGGCTATCAAATTAAACACATTTAACAATTAAGGTAAAGTTGACTGCCACCATAACTATTATTGTCCAAACAAATTTTTCAGTATTATATTCAAGATTGAATTATTTATTTTTAGTTAAAATTAAACTGAAAAAGGATGAATTTAAAGTTTTAATCAATTTCTTTTAATATGTAACTGCAAGAACAACCATACACACACTATCAAGTTGAATATCCCCCACAACCTATTTTCTAATTTACTTTTAATAAACTAGAACAGGTCAAAATGTCATGGACCAAATCATTCTCAAATTTTGTGGCTTAAGGAAATGAATTCAAATAATGATTTAATGAGGTGTAAACAGGTAATATTTTATGAAGGATTGGTGCTAATAAACTAAGAAATCTTTCTATTCTAAGAGCGTGTTAATTAGGGTACCGGTACACATCTGGATTTGAATTCAAACAGAGGCTCTAGACTTCATGGCCGACAGATTGTGCTGGGAATCGGTCCAAGATTCAAGATTGATAATTGGAACTTCAACATGAACGTGACAAAATGATAAAAATATCAAAATGTACAGGTCTTTTTTTGTAGTCATTATCTTCAAACTTAAAGCGTTACACCCTCAATATCATATATTTATTAAATAATTTTCTGACCAATTATAAAGAAAAGAGACAGTATAGTACTTCCTGTCCTTTCAAACTTTCAAAGAGCAAATCTAACATCAACGCCCATGCATGCATATAGATTTAGATTATTCAGTACCATGATTCACTTCAATATTTATTAAATCAAGGAATTTCTCCGAGATCGATCTCAGGTATGCAGGACTTATGATATCAAGTTGTATCACCTGCAAAGTGGTGCAATAAAGTACCGGTACTTTGATTTTGTCAGGACAAAATTTCTATAGATTTGAAACCTGTGCCGAACCCTCAGGTTTAATTTTGAAGGTGATTTATAGTATGTAACGCTATCTATTACATACCTGGTGAATATATTTATGATGTATTGCCTATTTACACAATAAAATAATCTGAAGGACATGTACCCGTGTATGTACGACATATCTTTGGTATAGCATGCATTGTTTTGTTCTCAAATTAAAGATGTCCTTCGAATGTAGTAATGGCAATTAAATATAATAAGCAGACACTGACCGGTAGCTTACTTAAAATGGCTGGTAGATCATGATCATGACCTGCAATGACCAGTGGGCTATACCTTTGGAAGATTACTTTTTTTTCCAGGCAGTGATACCTAAGGCCAAAAAAAAAAGATGTCTCTTTAGGGTTCCCGACCGACCCTAGCTTTTTACCCCCGACCCAAAACTTTTTTTACACCCGCTGATTTTTGAATTTTAGAAGGTTCCTTGCCTTTCAAAATGGCTTCCAGCTCCGTGTTGGCGCTAAATGTCATCATATGGAGCACAATAGTAGGGTCATAATCACATGACCAAAAATTAAAAAAAAAAAAAAAAAAAGTCCGACCTACATGTACCTACCCTAGTTTTTTGGCCCATGCAACCCTAAACAGACTATATATTTTTTTTGGCCTAATGTATTGAATATTGATTTTCGTAGAATTTTATTTTCAAAGTGTTGGTGAGTCCCATCATTACTTATTCTAAAGATATAGGCCGATATAATGGAAGACGGAATGGGCCACAGTGAAATACTGTTATGTCGTAATAACGACTTACAATCTCATAATAACGACACACTTATGTCGTAATAACAAAATAGCATTGTCGTAATAACAAGTAAACAACATAGCTATGTCGTAATATACAAGAATAATGGCCTCAAATCGAGATAGATGTTGTTGCCATGCGAATCCCATAAATTGAAGTAAAGTTCCCTTGTAATAAATTTTATTAGATAATAAATAAAAAAATAAAAAGGCTATTTATAACTAACCTAAATAAATGAAATTTAGCAGAAGTACCATTTTATAACTGTCTGTGATGTTATAAATCATAAAAATGCACCAGATATGTTATAAATATTGAAACTGAAAAGTGTTTTAACGTTTATAACATGTCTAGCTATTTAATTAGAACATGAAATTAACTTGTAATAAATTATATCAGATAATAAACTAAAATAAAAAAGGCTAAGTAACCTAAATAAATGAAATTTAACAGAAGTACTATTTTATAACTGTCTGTGATGTTATAAATCATAAAAATGCACCAGATATGTTATAAATATTGAAACTGAAAAGTGTTTTAACGATTATAACATGCCTAGAGCTATTTTATTAGAACATGAAATGTTACAAAAGGACATTTCATATAAAGTTTTTGTTTCCAGAAGGTCACCATGCCATTGGTTTTATAACATGGTCATTTTACTGTGATTTTTCTGCATGTCCATAGCCACCCTCATCTTGTTTTGAGGCTGGTATGTACATCTCCACAGCTTGTTAAAGAGAAATAAATTAAGCTCCACATGACCTAGGAATATAAATGAACTTTACACATTACGTCATTTCATAACATTCCGTTAAGTCACAAAAGAGACCGGCATATTGCAAGTCGGGTGAACTATTTTTTGTGCAGACATCAGCCTCATTGCCTTATTTTTTACTACATTGATTCCTCAATATGAACCATTTGAACAGTTAATGTACAAGTTCAGTATTTTCAAATCATACATATGTGTGAATTCTAATTTCCAATAAAGGTCAATGAGTATCACGTATCAATATATATATGGGTTGGAATTTTTTGTGACTATATAGCATCTATCTTGTAGATAACCTGGGTTTCCTCTGGCCCTGACACCAGAGTGATCAGACTAAGACGTTTTGACAAATATCTATAGATACACCAGACTCTGTCAAAATGTCTAAGTCTGGTGTCAGGGCCAGAGGAAACTCGGACTAGCTTGTTGAACCTCAAGATTCTTGTAAAGCAGAGTTTCATTTTGTACCTCACTTTTTTTTCTTTTTTTCTGGCAATTTTGTTAAAGATTAATTAGGTTTTGCCTTAAAAGCGTCAGCTGTATGGAATTTCCCTTTAGCTCAGCGGTAGATTATCGGCTGGAGAGCCAATGGTCATGGGTTCAAGGCCCAGCGACGGCACTATCTTATATATATCACTATTCCTTGTCCTACTAGGCTACTACAATTTAGGTACCCGAGTTTATGACGTCACACAGAGCCCTGAGGGTGCGTCATTACGATGTGACATGGGTTTACCTTATTAGTTATTTATTTAATTTGATCTTCAGAAGTGTTTTTATAATGGAAATATAGGACAAATGTAAACAATCAGGGTCCGTGTGAGCCAGTTTAAATATAGCCAGACTAATGTCCATATTGTCATAATGACACGATTGTCAATACACAACCTTTTATATAGTACATGTACATTTAAGCATCCTTACAAAGAGCTTAATGTGTGTATATAACAGCCTTGGAGCTGACCATGTACCACTGTACTATCCTTTCTCAAGTTCTTCTTTTATACCTTTCCTTCAAGCAAAAGTGATCAAATAATAAATGAAATTCAAATGTGATAAATGGAACATATGCCACTATTACCGCATTAGATATTATTATTGTTCTTATTTAGTGAAATTTAAATATGTTTTATTTGATGCTTCCTGTCTAATTGTTACTTTTACAGCATGAACATATCTTGTTAAATTAATGAAACCTTGTTTTATGTATGTTTCATGTCGATGGTTAAAGCTCACTTTACGAGCTTGTTTTTATCTTTGTAATCATATCGACGTTAAATAAAATTTACTTGACTTGACTTGGGCTAGCTTGTTGAACCTCAAGATTCTTGTAAAGCAGAGTTTCATTTTGTACCTCACTTTATTTTATTTTCTGGCAATTTAGGTACCTGAGTTTAATTATAGCGTGACGCGGAGACCTTAGGGCGCGTCATTAGCTTATTATTTCGGACAAATGTAAACAATCAGGATCCGATTGATTGATTGATTGATAGGTTTTACGTCCGCTTCATTACCGCGTATTTCGGTTATCCAGCAGACGAATAATCAGGATCCGTGTGAGCCAGTTTAAATATAACCAGACTAATATCTATATTGCCATAATGACACGATCGTGAATACACATTGTATATAACATGTATATTCCTTCACTCAGCTGACATCGCCAGACAGTTTTGGGATAGGGTACCAATCGACTAATTCAACAATAAAAACAATGGTGGTTTGAAAGCTTACCTCAAGAGTTGTAAGAGTTCCATCTACTCGTTTTCCTGTCACGTGTCCAGGTACAATCAAAATAAAAGCAAAACACAACGATAATATCCACATCCCGTCCATGATTTAGCTGGGGTCAAAACTGGGACTTCTTACTTTTCGGAACCTCTTTCTATTTATCCATTGAAATATTCAAATCTGAAACCTCGGGGTATCGAAAGGTTCCGGTGAACGAGCACCTGCATTGTGTTGCTAAGGGTGACGAGTATAAACAAGTCGTGATTTAGGTTTAAAAACCTGTTTACTGTGTTGTTTACGTGCTTGGTGTGGATTGCAAGTTTATGTTATGATTAAAATAACAAAGAAGTAATTGAGAAAATATTATTCATGTCTTTGGTTGATCGTTTAAAGATCACACTGGCTAGCGTTATGATTGGTAATAAGTTAGCATAGACCTAAATTAACTTAATTTACTTTACGTCTCTGGTAATAGTCTGTGACACGCCCTTGGTCCACTGCACATCCCTGCGGTGACGTAGCATCAGTGTATTGACATTGGTTTTATGTATTTTCTTTTTGCTGATTTTACATTTACGGAGTTCGTTTATTTGAAAAATATATATAGTTACCATATTAATTAATTTCATTGAAGCATTCGGATTTTTTTTTTAAAGTTTCATTTATGGAGTAAATTTAAAGTTATATTAATTATGTAATTTGCCATCTAACATATTACATATCTATATTATGAATTGATGTAATATTCTGACTAACATATACATTATTTTGTTTATAAATACTAAACTTTTTTTTTTGTCTATCATATGAAAACCGCATCTTATTTTTTATTATACACTGAACACGGTTTCTGGGTAGATCTATGCAATACTTTTTTTTATATATATTCCAACATATTTTAAATTCAATTTTCTGCACCTCCTGTCCAATGAAATCCTTACTGGGTATCTTCCTTTAATGCTATTTGTCTATGCTAAATTCGATTTTTGTGTATGCAATTATTACTTTTGTAATACATCTCCCAACGGGTAATTTAAAATATGTTATTGGTTACCTTGCAATATATATAATACATTTATAATCCCGTGCACGACCAGTAGTTATATCTTAAAATTTCGAATGTTGTGGTAGGAGCTGTGAATATTCTAGGCCGGGTGATTTGGGTGCCGTATGTCGTGAGGTTCGAAACCCAGACCACAGGCACCTGAGAATTTGTTGCAGCTAGATTTTGGACCTAAACTAAGGTTTATATTTTAATGACATTTCGTATTTGCGCTTACGTCGTAGGTGAAAACAAAATGAAAGTGAAATTTTGTAGACCAACTTATCGCATGATCTTGGAATTTAAATATTTACATTTACTACGTCACGGTAACTTGGCGAACATTTTTAGATTGCAGTTGGGGCTTATGTAAAATCAATAAGTTGTTTATGTAAATACAAAATACGTCTAGGTTTTAAACCATCGTTATATTTTCCTAGAAATGTGAACATGTGCTGAGCTGTGGCGATTGTATTGCGGTTTTATCACTGTTGCGGTGTTACATGAAGAGATCTGGTTTTGTAAGCCACCAATCACAGTTTTTTAAATCTATTAAATTACACATTTTAATGCAGTTTTAACATAACTTAATACAGCTTCATTTTAATATCATAATGATTTGTATGAATCTTTTTATTTCTATACGATTATGTGTGAGTTTTTATGCTAGAAAAAAAATCTATTTTGTTGTAAAATTGTCTCCCTTGTTGTAATACTCTTCCTCATAGACATTTCCATTGCAATATATAACATGATTTATTACAACGGTAAACTTCCTCTGATGTTGCAGATATATCTCATCCCTAGTGTACGCGCATTGGGCGTGCGTCTCTGCAATAAAGATACCCTCTTTAGGATAACAGGTTTGAGTTTGGTTTAGTTAGGTTTAACGTCATATTAACCCCTGGGATATGTCATAGCAAAATTGAAGGCTCGGTGTGCGCCACCTTGTTGATGAGACAAGAAGACTAGTTCGATCCTTTGATGTACATCAAAAAAAACTCGTGGTCACGTCACGGTAAAAAATGGCAGGCTTTGAAGTCGGGCGTCTCTCCTTTGTAATCTTCAAAGGACAGGTTTCAGCCAAGCGATTGGTTAGTGGTTTTTTATACATGAGATCAATTAAACAGCTTTCTTCGTGCCTTCAATTTTGCTATGACTTATTCAAGGGGTGTAGAGAGCGAAAGTGAGCGTAACCCCTGGATATCGAGGATGATAGAAAGCATGTTTCACGAGGAGGTGAAACAATGAATCGTGTTTTACTTCAACTATGATGGAAACGAGGTCACTTAAAAAAAACACTTCTCCAAATTAAATGCTCGATTGCTAGAACTATGCTTTGACATGGGATGATACAAACAAGATAGCCATGACAATAACAGTACCACAGAAATATTCAAGAAGGCCACAATCAAAATCAAAGAATTGAAAAAAGCGTAATCAGAACATTCCATTGTAAAACAAGAACATCACTAAAATTACTTAAATGTCTAAAACAAACAAACTCAAAAGTGGTATGCAATTTTTTTTATTCTACGTTTACATTTTGAGATATACAGGTTAAGACTTCGACAAACAGTTTGACCTTTGAACTTAATGAGAATTTTACCTTTGACACGCGGTTCCCGAACTGATATGCAACAAAATGCCTTGCCATTTGACCTATTTCTACCTATTTCTATGACAATCCATTGTATTGCAATCAGCGAGAACGATTTGATGTAATAGTCCGGAGGACGAATTTGACTAGACTGGCCTACGTTTCTAAATTATTGAGTTTTTAAGAAAACAACTTCAACTCTAAACAATTTGATCACTTGGATGTATTATTCTAGAGACTGGTCAAATGTGGATACGGTTTGCAATTTGATTCCGGGGCTAGGCTGCCTGTGAAACCACAAACTAAGTAGGACAATTATAGCCAACCCCCAGGAGCCAATCTCCACGCAGAGTTACGGTCGTTGCACTATGATTGAAAAGGAACGACAACTCTGGGTAGAGATTTCCCAGAAGCATCAATGGTCCTGACCATCACAGGCTGGTCAGCATCTTATCCTGATTATCAAGGGAGTAATCTCAAAATTCTAGCTTTTTCAACTTCCAGTTGGTGAAAAAATAAAACATCCTTTCCTACAAAGTAGTTTTTGGCAACCCCTTCCTAGGTCGGTTTCTGAATAATTAAATCTTCTTAATGATTTGGTACTAGTTTCATATGGCAAACCATTTGGGTGTTTACCCATTTAAAAACAGATATCTGTAGTCATTCCTAAGTAAACTAGGGGAAGATATGCTATAGTAGTAAAATGCAGCCGAGAAATTCTTCATAAAGGTAGCCAGTCTAGAATTTGACCTTTGACCTCAATGTGACCTTGACCTGGGGCGAAGGGACCAAATAGTGGTACGTTACACATTGCCTTGCTGTCCTACATATATCAATACAATATCATTGGGCTACCTTCAGCAAGTCCAAAGTTATGGCACCGGACGGACTGACGCACAAAGCGGCGACTATAAATTATGCTGGTCGACTCTTTTTCAGAAAGCAAAATTTGTTTCTGATTTGTATACGTATCAGAGTATATGCCTGTCAGGTCCAAATAGTACAACCAGTAGAATGTTTGTTGATATTTCGATGAAAAGTGCATGGTGTACCCAGTTTGACAAATGACCAGTTTCCTACTCAAACCTGTATATATATATATAGTATCAGTCGACGACAGTAGCAGTTCATGAACGGTGCCGCTCGCCAAACCAAATCGAGTTATCCCCCTTCGCACGTACATTTCTTGGCCTTTATTTTTGGATTTTAGACTGATTAAAAAGTTAATCAAATTTTACAAAACAAAGGTGGCAAGATTTTCCAGGAGACTGTAAGTACTCTCGTGAGAACAAACTGTGCCCTGTTTCTGGCCGAATTGTTTTTTGTTTTCATATGAAGCTGAATTTACAGATGAGCTTATCAGGACTGGAAACAAAAACCTTGTCAAGTACATGTACTTCAATTTAACAATAAGATATATCGATGCTGTACTGGGCCTGAATTACAAGACATTCATAGACCACATCGATCGTATATACCGTCCAGCGCTTGAAATCAAGAACCACAGAATCTTCTACTTCAGCCTTTTTCCTCAATCTTTCTTTACGTCATGACCACAAGGGACAGCTTTCTATTACGTATACGATAAGCGGGACGATTTTTATTTTCCGATCGTTAACTTTCCCTTTTTTGATAATAACATCCTTTTCCCTACATACGGTGTTTATATGTCACATTTTATTCTGTTGTCAAGTTTTCCCTTCGAATATCATGACTTCCGTGATAGATGTGGACTGCTGTCGGACACACTTACAACACAAGGTTTCCAAAGATACAGGTTGACGAAGATTATGGGCAAGGTTTACGGTTGCAATCTGGATATCGCAGGGGAATATGCCTTTTCTTTGTGTGGTATGAAGGTCGATGTTGTATATTATGCTCATAAGAGTTCATTGTCGTTTCGTCGTCACTACCCTGAATCAACATGTGCGGATGTGACACTATTAGGATTTGACTTAGATTTACATGGCGGGTATCTTTGATGGACCAGAAAATGTCTACCCATCCGGATCACCCCATCCTCGATACTCATGGGGTACCGCTTAATTTCTTTCGCTCTCTGCACTCCTGGAATATGTCATAGCAAAATCGAAGGCTCAGTGTGCGCAACCTTGTGGATGAGACAGGAAGAGACTAGTAGTTCGACCCTTTGATGTACATCAAAAGAATCTCGCGGTCGCGTAACGGTAAACATTGACTGACTTTGAAGTTGGGTGTCGCTCCTCGAAGGACAGGTATCAGCCTAGCGATTGGTCAATTTGGTTTTACCTGAGACCAATCAAACAGCTATCTTCGTGTCTTCAATTTTGCTATGACATATTCCAGGGGTGCAGAGAGCGAAAGTGAGCGTAACCCCGGGAGTATCGAGGATGGGGTCACCAGGTCTTATTAGCCTTGTATGTTTTCAAGGGTATCCATGTAAATATTTCGTTTGTTCATATTTTGGCTTGATTTTGAGTTCAAATTATGGTATTGTTGACTCTTTTCTTGTTTTCATTTTCACTAACCAGAAATCGGGCGGAGTCAGCTTCCAGATTCGGTAGGGTAGCGGGAACCGTCGGCACTTTCCGTAAACGATAATTTTCTCGTTTACGGAAAGGGCCGACGGTTCCAGATTGGGCGACTCCCTCCACGAGATCATAAATGATTAGATTCAGGATGTACTTAAAAAGACATCTGAATCGGCATGAAACGTGTCCGGAGGTAACGAAGCATAACTGTAAATTACAAAAATATATTTCATATGTAATGTGTCTCATAACAAAAAAATTGTTGAACTTTCTGTAGGTTAACACGGGTATTTATTAACCGTTGGAAGCTAATGTTTTCCTGGGCACCCACCTTCTGGGAATATCGTATTTCACTGGTCAACAAGTTTTCATGTTGATCTTAATCAATCAAGAATACTATAATCTATACAAAAGCGTACAATATCTGGTATGAGGATCACGTCATTTTACCTTGACGTCACGTGTCGGAAACGTGTACTGCCATATTATGGTTGTTTTGGACAGGAAAGAAATTATCCGATTTGCTAGAGTCCATTTAACTGCGCCACTGTTGGTTGGAAAATCTAAAATGCACATTTCAACGTCTTGCCGTGAAGATACACATGGTGGCTTTTTGTATAATCACGTCTAAAACGATGACGCGTGCAATTTTTTTTTTACCAACCAACAATAGTCCCGCACTTAAAGTGTTACAGCCCCCGCAGTTAAAGTTGTACAACAGTCTCACAGCAATGATAGGCTATTACTGCTTTCAAAACACGGTCACGTATTTAATTAAATGTTTGCTTGGTATATACTGACCCCAAAAGAAACGTTGCATTATTTAAAGTATGGAATGTTCATATTACATTACATTTGAAATACGAAGACGTTAATGCTTTATAATATTGTGCGCGGGATATCGGCTTGAGGTTGGTCAAGTAAACGTCGACAAAATTCAGTCAAGCGTAGTAATGTGCTCGATGTACGCGCAGAAGGCTTTGCACGTGTTCTGTGTATGCAAAGTGTGTAAAGGGTTCGTTTTTCTTTCTATAGGTTCAAAAATTTAGTCTGTACTAGGAAAACATCATTGTTTTGGTGTCCAAGCTAAATCAGGTCGGCCGCCGGTTTGGTGTGGCCAAAATGACTATATACAGGCTCTGGAGCAGGTTTACAACCACAAAATCGACGGCCGACCGTCCAAGGTCGGGTAGGCCTAACACTACGTCACTTAGACAGGACAGGTATATCTTCTTTCGTCATATTTGTATTAGGACAGTAATGGCGACAAGTACTGCTTCCACCATCCCGAATCAACGTCGCATTAGTCAGCAAACTGTAATCTGTCGGTTGGCCGATAAAGGGCTACGTTCTCGTCGACCCTATCTTGCACATCGATTGAGCCAACGTCACATCCGAAGTCGCTCAGCGTGGGCACGACAACAGTAACGATGGTCTCTACGTAAGTGACAACAATTTCTACTCACAGATGAGTCACAACTTTGTATCGTTTTGGCGGTGGAAGCATCATGATGTTGGTTTCGATATCTGACAATGGGCGCATAGACCGCCGACGTTAGCCTGAACGCCTAACGTTACAGGGAACAGATCTCGGTACGACAAGATGTCCCATTCATGGTGACACATGGCGGCACGTTTCAGCAATAAAACGCACGTGCTCATGTCGCACGCATCAACACGGACTTTCTTTGTCAAAAGAATATATCTCAATCCCATTGAGCACCTCTGGGATCAGTTTGACAGAAGAATGAAAACTCGACGTCAGCAGTCTCAAACGTTGGACCAGTTGAGGACGACCTTACAGTTAGAGTGTACGACGTCGTTGTCAGGCTGTGGTCATCGCCCGGGGTTCTTTTCCCGCGATATTTACTGTGTAAACTTAATTTTTACGTACGATGGATAAACCTTAGTGACGTCGTTTCTTAGAGACATTTAAATGAACTTGAAGTCAATTTATTAATACAACAGATATTGATGTCGATTTTGACAGTGTGAGGTTACAGCATTTTCAATACATTAATGAAAGAATATCAATACACTAATGTAACGTTTCTTTTGAGATATAGAGATGCAATATTTAAGGATTAACTTGTATATATGTTTTATGTTATGGAGATATAACACAAAAAACCGGATTGTACTCTAAATAAACCGCGGTTTATGATGAGAGTACACTCCGGTTTTTTGTGTTATAGTTCCATAACATTAAACATGTAATCTACTATACACAATCCCTGTGGAAATCCACTATTATTGATGGACTCTTTTCTCTTAGAAATTGTTACGCCGCTGTATCAGCCAATCAAAAGCGACGTTACAAACGGCGACGTCATTTTTCGTTGTTGGAATCGGTGTTATTTGTGCATTTATTTCGTGTAGACGCAATACGTGAGAATCATTGCACAACATAACTGAAAAGTGATATTATACATTCCTTTGGCCGCCTGGTAGGGAAACCAGAGTCTTTGTTTTTGCGACATTATTCATGTTTCACGAAGGCGAAGCCCGAAGCCCTCGTGAAACATGACTTATCCTTGGAGAAACAAACACTCGAGTTTCCCTACCGCAAGGGTAAACAATAAGTTTATTAAAAAAATAAACAATGATACAGGTGACCAGGTTGACGTGGCGTTGTTGTCTGATTCAGTCACGCGGAACTATTTTATCCATTTTACTTGACAAGCTGCGAACAAGGGATATATATATGATCGGGGAAACCCGAGCGCGTGAGAATATCATGATGTTTTATTGCCCTGTCATGTGATCTATATAATCAAACCAGACAGGCTCTTGTACAGCTGAGATACGTTATATGTTTACATACACAACACTTACTACCCTTCAGTTTCTCAGATCTTTCTGCTTTAAAAGTTGTTCAGAAATGGCGTGCATGATTCAATATAATTACTTTTTAATATTATGTTTTTGCTAACAGGTTCTCCCACTCACCATTAATGAAACAGTCGTGTATGCATACGTTATACACTACCAATCTTATATGTAAATGGGACAGCTCGGAGGTGACTACATCATGTTTACGTCTTACGCTTGTGCTCAGTAGACCGTCGGAAAAAGTATTCTTAGTATCACCTCGGTCGGCAACATGGCTATCCCCAAAAGGATGAAATTCTCTCTGGCAACTTTACTCGTTCAAGCAGTTTTCATCATCCTGTACGTAATCTTTGTTGATTATGAAGATGCTGCGGATCCAACGAAGCCCAAAGCAGCTTCGCCTATACCCACTTATTATCCAAGTAAGTAAAACCAGCCTAGGAGTTCTTACACAAGTATGTCAACACTAGTATGTGTAGTACCGTGACACGCGTCCCGTCATATACCTGTGTACTAGTGACTCAATCCAGAATGTCATGTAGTCAATAATCAATGAAGACAAGGAGCGAACTGGAGTCACTTTTAGGATTAGTTTGATATTTTACTTCCAGAGTAAATAGTTGCACATACGTTCGTTGTAATGCACTGATTTTAAAGCTGTAACAACTTAATGCCTAACGTTTACATGTGGCTTGTGTTAGACATGTATCTGACTCAAATCCAAATTATCAACTCAATATAACTAATAAATACTAATCTTACAAAAGGCGTCATCAAATAAAATATCCATTGTACACACGTGTCATTCATTAAAATATCACACATGTCTCATTCATTAAATTATCTTGCACGCGTGTCATTCATTAAAGTATCACGCATGTCTCTTTCATTAAATTATCTTCCACGCGTGTCATTCATTAAAATATCACACATGTCTTTTCATTAAAATATCTTACACACGTGTCCTTCATTAAAATATCACACATGTCTCTTTCATTAAAATATTTTACACACGTGTCATTCATTAAAATATCACACATGTCTCTTTTATTAAAATATCTTACATGCGTGTCATTCATTAAAATATCACACATGTCTCTTTTATTAAAATATCTTACATGCGTGTCATTCATTAAAATATCACACATGTCCCTTTCATTAAGATATCTTACACGCGTGTCATTGATTAAAATATCACACATGTCTCTTTCATTAAAATATTTTACACACGTGTCATTCATTAAAATATGACACATGTCTCTTTCATTAAAATATCTTACACACGTGTCATTCATTATAATATCACACATGTCTCTTTCATTAAGATATATTACACGCGTGTCATTGATTAAAATATCACACATGTCTCTTTCATTAAAATATTTTACACACGTGTCATTCATTAAAATATGACACATGTCTCTTTCATTAAAATATCTTACACGCGTGTCATTCATTAAAGTATCACACATGTCTCTTTCATTAAGATATCTTACACACATGTCTCTTTCATTAAAATATCACACATGTCTCTTTCATTAAGATATCTTACACGCGTGTCATTCATTAAGATATCACACATGTCTCTTTCAATAAAATATCTTACACGCGTGTCATTCATTAAAATATGACACATGTCTCTTTTATTAAAATATCTTACATGCGTGTCATTCATTAAAATATCACACATGTCCCTTTCATTAAGATATCTTACACGCGTGTCATTCATTAAAATATCACACATGTCTCTTTTATTAAAATATCTTACATGCGTGTCATTCATTAAAATATCACACATGTCTCTTTCATTAAGATATCTTACAAGCGTGTCATTCATTAAAATATGACACATGTCTCTTTTATTAAAATATCTTACATGCGTGTCATTCATTAAAATATGACACATGTCTCTTTTATTAAAATATCTTACACGCGTGTCATTCACTAAAATATCACACATGTCTCTTTCTTTAAAATATCTTACACGCGTGTCATTCATTAAGATATCACACATGTCTCTTTCAATAAAATATCTTACACGCGTGTCTTTCATTAAAATATCACACATGTATCTTTCATTAAGATATCTTACACACGTGTCATTCATTAAAATATCCACTTTAGCCCCCGAGGTTTGCTGTAACCTTGATGGCCACAGTTATCTCTTTAGAGTATTGGAATGGTTCTAATATAAACACTTAATATATTTAACAGTTCTCATCTACATTTTAATATTCATAAATGAAGGAGTTCTCACACCTGTCCCTCTGTTGCAATAATAGTTTAGACACGTTGGATTTCCAACTTTATGGCCCCCTAGCATCACTAATGAGGCCTAACTGTATATGATGCAGCGTGATTTTACTTTCGCCTAACACCGGTGTGTATGGTTTTTTTTCTCTTTTTTTCTTCTAAACATATTTTATTGCCGAAAAAATGCAAAAGGATTGTGCACAAGTTACATGAACATTATTAACGCCCTTTCCTTATAAGATAAATAATTGTATATACACATCATAAGATGGCTTTCATAGTTTGAATTACGACATTTATCTATTATTGAGAGAGAGAGAGTCCGGGCTACATAGATGTGATCTTAAAGTCTCAACTGACCATCTATGTACGTACTAATTGATTATGTGGGGCCCATGGACCGTTGACACAGTCAGTGTTACAACGTTGTGTAATTGATTACGTTTATCGGGAATAGCTGGTGAATCAAGGATTACATAGATATGATCTTAAAGTCTCAACTGACCATCTATGCACGTGCTAATTGATTATGTGGGGCATATGGACCTTATGGTAGATACGGGCTGATATGATCTTCAAGTCTCAACTGACCGATCTATGACCGTACTAATAGATTATAATCGAGTATAAATATAACCTAGAAATGAGATATCTCTTGATATGATATAATGATATAACTTTGCAATTTAAGAAATATATGAAAATTAAAATAAAAGATTTACGATTATAAGCAGTTAAGCTGACAATGCTGTGGAAGACATGATGATGTGTATTTCTTAAAAACAGATCAACTTTCCCATGTTCGGGTCAGGTTCCCCGAAGCCATCATAAAGTATACACAAATACACACACATATATATACGAACGACGTGTTCATCGAAGGCCAATACTCCCCCAAAATAGACAGGTGTTTTTATGCGACACACAGGGGCTGGACAGACTTATACTATTATAAAGTTTATATACACATCATATTACTATTAGTGTGTCCAGCCACCAAAATAGACAGGTGTTACTATGTGACACACAGGGGCTGGACAGACTTATACTATTATAAAGTTTATATACACATCATATAACTATTAGTGAGTCCAGCTACCATACTAGACAGGTGTGACATACAGGTGCCATCCTCGATATCCAGGGGTTACGCTCACTTTTGCTCTCTGCACCCGGCCTGTAGAGAGCAAAAGTGAGAGTAACCCCTGGGTATCGAGGATGCACAGGTGCTGGACAGCCTTCTACTATTATATTGTAAATACACATCATATTACTATTAGTGTGTCCAGTACCTGTGGTTTGAGACAGTGAGAAGCTAGTTACGTACAGTGTTGCACATACACTCCCATTGCATCTGAATGTCTCCCTTATGTTAACCCAAGTTTAACACAGCACATCCTCACTACATATTTGAAGTTCAGTCCCTTTTTCAATGAAAGTTTATAATCGCTATCAAAATAAAATTATTCCCTGTCAAAACACACTGCTCTACTGATGTATTGAAAATGCTACCATACATAGATATATCCATACTTACATCTTCACATACTTTCATACCTTTGTGACGTTTCAGGAACGGAAGTTTATAGGGCTTATATTTCTGGAAGACTTGATTTCGCTGTATTCGTGGTCTGAAATACACGTATTATAGACCCCCCGATATCGTTGTCTTCTCATATAGAGGTCGGTAGGACCGCTAGCTATTGACCATCCTCTGCTCTCTACACCCCTGGAATATGTCATAGCAAAATTGAAGGCACGAAGATAGCTGTTTGATTGGTCTCAGGTTAAAAAAACCTGACCAATCGCTAGGCTGATGCCTGTCCTTTGAAGATTACAAAAGAGAGACGCCTGACTTCAAAGCCTGTCAACTTTTACCGTTACGTGACCGCGAGATTCTTCTGATTTGTATCAAAGGGTCGAACTAGTCTTCTTGTCTCATCAACAAGATGGCGCACAATGAGCCTTCAATTTTGCTATGGCATATTCTAGAGGTGTAGAGAGCGAAAGTGAGCGTAACCCCTGGATATCGAGGATGCCTATTGACGGCCATACGCAAAATTAAATCCACTTCAGTATATAAAACGCATACTTTGATCAACATAATTTCAGCTGTACATGTATGTAAATTACAGAGTTAAACGATATCGTGCAGACTTGGATATACTTTCTCGGGTGTGCTAGAATGTTGTTAAAAGCACATATCACATAGCGTCATCTCTTCATTCAAAACGTCATGCAAGGGTTGCAGTAGATATATTAATCAAATTCGACTAACAATGTGAAACGAGCAAGTTCAGCAAGCCAATTATTTATAATTTAATGATTTTAAAAAGCTTTCTCTCGTCAAATATATGATGATTAGATCTTTTTACCCGTCTAAATTTTATGTTCTGTAAACTTATAAAAGCATAGTAATATGAGACGCATAAATTCACATTTAGTTTACTTATACATAGAGAAAGTGCTGCCATGGTGATACGGTGTAAACAAGTATTACAGTCACGTCGACAAGATATAAGAAGTGCTGTATATAGTTCGCTTATCTTAAGGTGAAGGGTACCACTGCATCATTTTAATTGCAAAGAAGAGTTCCAAACAAAGTTTTTTTGACTTGGAGTATTCTCCCCTCAAGAGTAGGATCTTTTCTCAAATATCTAGCCTAGTTATTTCAGAATATATTAAATATATATTATTTCATTGCAAAATGATAATTATCCTCAAAAAGTCCAGACGTATAGTCTATGTTAATTGTATATCCAAAATAATTTTACTGCACCCATTGTAATATTTGGGATCTTTTTATTTTTCTGAACTCCTTACTACTCTTTACTAACTTCTTTATTTCCTAGCGCTGTGCTTGGCAATACCTCACTTCTGGTTTTAATGTTGAACGTTCGCCAAGGTGAGAAATGCAATGGGTTCTGTCCTCAGACCGGGACATACCAAAGTCCTTAAAAAGGTAGTTGTTATTCCCTGTTTAACGTTCATGATTAAGGGTATTTACAACAACTGGTTCACCTGTTGTCGGTATAATTAGACCGGGCCGAATGCTGTGCTGGGTGCCTTCGGCATGGTATTTCAATATGATAGCACTCTAAAGTCGGTATCAGATCCGCGCTATCACAAGGAGGAAAGTACACCATTATACCCTGTCTCCGACACACATTCAAATTTGCACGCATACACAACACACATGGAGGCACGTCTTTAAACTACACTAACTTAATATGACGTTGAACGAAATAAAACCAAACAAAGCCTGTGTGCATCCAGCCATTCAGTGTTTTGTCAAAAGACAACAAAAGCAGAAGAGATATTCTGTATGAGTCTAACAAAATCTGCTGAAATGTTATCCAAAAAAGGTTTGATACATATCCTCTACTTATCTTTTATATTATGCATAATGAACTGAAAACTTGCCCTGTTTATACATCAGCTCAGATTACAAAAATATGTTCTATATGTAGACTGTTTTGTTAGATGTAAACCAGCTTTAGCTATTAAGTCGTTTTATCGTTTCGCTAGAACGGTGGTATTGTAAAATAATGAGGACACCCCTACCCAAGTACCTTCCTCGTAGCCACAAAGATGGGTCTAGTACTAGTTAGTTACCCTATATTCGCTGGCTGAAATTTTTACTTTAATGTGTATCATTTCGCTACTACATTTTGTATATAATGAACGGTGCTCTAAGGCAGGCAATGATAAAAACACTTAAACATTCTATATTTGTCTAATATAAAGTCCGACAGATAATTGCTAACCGGAATTTCCACAGTATATTTTTTAACAGTGCGCTCTGGTCCCACACCAGACATCTGTCTGTCAAAATGTATAAAGTCTGGTGTCAGGGCCAGAGGAAACTGGGACTAGGGGGGAGGGAGCAAGGTAGTGGTTATAATAATAATAAATAATATACAACATTTGATATAGCGCCCTATCTAGCTAATATAAGCAACTCTAAAGCGCTTTACAGTACATAGATATACAATTTTATACAGTCAATACAATTAGCATATATACATTAATCAATAATCAATACAATATTGAGGAATTCGCAGGAGCTGCCTTATCAGGCGCTAACTACTAGTCCTATGCCACCTGGCTAATATCTCCCTATGTGTGTGCGGGAGATGTACTGTTAAATCTTTGTGGGCCTCCGCTCAATTAGTTTTTATTTTACAATGTATATAATTATATCCATATCAACATGTTTCAACATTTCTTAAAAATATCTTTTAATTATCAAATAAGAACACACAAAAGTTCGAATGAATAAAACGTCTCCCGAGCAAGATTTTTTTTCCCTCTCTTTTAGTTGAATTTCTGTCGACAATTCATACAATTTTATACAAAACAACTACCTCATGTTTGGTATTCCGTCTTTGCGTATTGCAGAGTTATCTTCTCTCGGCAGCAGGTATTGAATGATTGTTACGTCATTGGTCTGTGTGAGGAAATTACGTCGTTTTCTCAAAAATTGATGACGTTACTCTCACAAACAAGTGACGTAACAATCAATACCTGTTCCCAAGAGAAGATAACTCTGCAATACGCAAAGACGGAATATATACGTTGATGGTCACCTCTTTTATCTTTAAGTGTACCAGGACATACACGTTATGATATTTGTGGGGTTCGGATTCCTGTACACATTCCTACAACGATACGGGTACTCAGGGGCTGGCTACAACATCCTACTGGGCGCAGTCGCAGTCCAGTGGACGCTTATCATCCGGGCACTTTTCTTCCATGAGCTCGCTTCCGGAGGTCGTGTACAGATGTCCTTAACGGAGTGAGTATGTCGTTTGATAGTCTCGTTCAACCAAACACTTGTTGTCTGCGCAAGCTACGCCGAACAGAGAATTACAAGTGATCAAGCGTCTGGTTGAATGAGACTAACAGTTTCGTTTCTCAAACGACTAGTCTCGTTCAATCAGAAGCTTCATCACTTGTTCGGCGTAGCTTGCGCAGACAACAAGAGTCTGGGTGAACGAGACTACGAAACTGTAAACTGGTCGAGATGCCATTGAAAGAATGTTAGAAGGTACTGGTGTATCTTATATTTCTAAAATAAACGATTATTTTCATGGAACTTCATAGTCTCTACTCGAAACATAATGTTTGGTTACTTAAATGTAAATGGCCTAATTGACAAAATAACATTAATAATGATATTTTCAATTGTCTCACTTCGGTTGAAATGTTCTTAATAGACAATACCGCCCATATGATACGGCCACATTGTGCGTATGGATATACTTGACCCTAACTATGAGACGTGGAAATATAGAAAATAGTAAAATTATTACTTTTGTGTAGACTAAATAAGATAAATAAGTAACCTATACTGAAAAAGAGCTGAATATCTGAAACATAAAAGTAAATTTTAATACTTAGTTTTGAAGACATGAAACTAAACGAAATTTCACATTTTGGACACTTTGCATACATTTTCAATGTATGCACGTGTGATGACGTCATGCATGTTTACATTACAGATTGATCACAGGTGACTTCAACGCAGCCACGGTACTTATCTCGTTTGGGGCCCTTATTGGAAAAACGGGCCCTCTACAGCTTCTGGTCATGGTAATTCTGGAGGTCGTGTTCGCTAACCTCAACGAGTACATTGGCACCGAACATCTCAAGGTAAGTGTGACGTCATATAACCATTAATTACAACGTATGTGTGATTTCATCGTAACATCAATTACATTGTATGTATGACGTCATCTCAACCATCTATCATTACGTATGTGTGACGTCATCTCAACCATCTGTTACAGTGTATGTGTGACGTCATCTTAACCATCTAAAGCAATGTAAGTTTGACGTCATCGCAACCGTCTATTAAAATGTATGGTATCGTTATTGGCATCACCTAACATAAGGTTTGAGAAAATTGGAACAACTCATTATAAAGTGGATGTGACGTCAATGTTTCTACTTATATAAAAGATGCTACGTTATTGGTACCAATAAAAGGTCGATGTGACGTCATCGGTTAAATACAGGTTTCATAATTAGCAGTTGTTGTTTATCATTAATGTTAGCGCGTTAGGTGTGCTATTTTGAAAAGAACACATAATAATGCTACCTTGCCATCTTGTATGTAAAATCAGTTGACGTATTACACTCTCTGTCCATTACTTCGGACAGAGAGAGCAATCTGTTAAAGCGGCAGATAAAGGAAGCCATCTGGGTACGCCACAGTTGGCCAGTTCTAAATCGAGATGAGGGGGCTCATAGACTCTCTCACATCTATGACCAAGTATAAATCCAAGCGTAGCTGAATCGAGTCATTTCGGTACATATATACCAACTATTGTACATTCGCTTACAGCGTACCCGAAATCGACATAGATTTTGTGGACAACTCGTACATATGTTACACCTTTGTGTGCATACGCTTCACTGGTCATTTGTCTGATGAAGGTGACAGTGTACATACCGACGTCACGGAGAAACTCTTATTGGTAAAACGAACTTGTCATAATGTATTACACAACTGCACAAAGAATCGATTAATAATTGTATCATATGTTGTTATGAATGTGCTTTCAAGCACACGTTTTCCAGATTATTTTCATTTGTCAAATAATATGTACGTATACTTATACACATCTGCAACTTCGACAATAAACTAAATGATATTAGACTGATTGAAAATTACCTAGGGGTTAACAAATTCAAATAAAAAAGTTAGGCATGTTTCCGAAAATTGTTGCACCACACTGACCAGAACAAAGAGACAAACACACGCACTTTTAAAGGTAGAAATTTAATACCATCAACATTTCTTTATCGGATCAAAGTTTGTGATCTACGAACTTGAAGCGAATTTCATAGGAGTGTTTTTTTATTCATTTGTTTTATGTAAGAACTGTTCATGTTATTCTAAACAAACCCCGATGTCACGTGATATGCAGAGGAAGTATACAATACACATTCAACCAATCATTTCGCTTGATATGTTGGTATACCAGCTATTCCGTCTTTGCTTATTGCAGAGATATCTTCTCTTGGGAGCAGGTATTGATTGTTAAATCATGAATACTGTCAACAATAATATTTTTGCGGCGGTCTTATTGTTAAAATTTTCGCGGTTTAGATTTTGCGCTAAATAATGGTCGCGCAAATTGAAGTTCCTGTATATTGTTTTCAATGCGCTGATATGTTATTCTTCGATAATGCGCTAAAAATAGTACGATGACAGTATTCCAATATCATAATTTTCTTCTCACACGTGCACCTTGCTGTGATTTTATTTTGACAAATTAATGTTTACTTACACACTAACGGGGCACAGGGACTTGATAATCTGTTACATCTTTATTTGAACCAAAACTAAGGTGTTCAGAGTAATTTTACATGTTCCCCCAATGATCGTATATACTATGATAATGGGGTGTCATTTTTACCAGAAGTCAATCTAAAACCCTAAAACATGTAAAATTACTCTGAACACCTTAGTTTAGGTCCAATATAGCTGTAACAAGTTCTCATGACTCTGTGTATCGTGTGTGTGTGGGTTCGAAATATTGTTCAGTGTTTATCTACCTATCTTTAGATATCAAGTTTCGTCATTACAATGAAAACAAAATTTATGGAGAATGCCTTCATATTACAACTTAAAATATAGTGTTACATTACATACGTGAAATGTGCATTGATCGCTATCAGAAAACGAGGTGACAATACCTGACTTGTGCTACGAGAAGATAATTTGTCTAAGCTATTTATGTCAGGAGCCTTGAAGTGGGATTTTTCTCCTGTTGCATTGTCAAGATGACATGTAATAAATCTAAGTCATCATTGCGCTTGTTTTTTCTGCCTTTCTCCCAGTGCATTGCGTAGAGGACGTATAATAGCCTGCGTCATCCTTGCGCTTTTTTGTCTTTCTCCTGGGCCGTTTTCGTTTATCGCGGTCCAAACGGCTGAACCGGTTCAACCGGTTGGACCAGAGTTGTACGTTTATGAAATAAGGACGGATCAAGTAATCTAATGCTGCTTTCAGACAAGCCTTGACAAAGCCTTGCAAGACCCGCATAAACTTTTACAGGTCCGCCAGGATTCATACCCGAAAATATTACATTAAAAATGGACGTACCGGTTGCTCCGCATAAACGAACTGGCCCCTGTTGTATTAACAAGATGACGTGTAATTAATTGCGTCATCCTTACGCTTTATTTTTTGCTGATTTTTTCCCCGTCATTTTTAACGTTGTATCTTCCTTCTACCTCTGTTTGACCAGGACAACTTAGTTTCTCAGTGTGGCTAAATAAGGTGTCATGGTCACTAAAGACTGACCATTGGATGATCCGAAAGCAAGCGGCCACCGTCGTCTGATTCGCTGAAACGATGATATTTAACTCCGAATGAACTTGAAAGCGTCCGTCAGTTTATCATTATCATCAACGCTTGTTGTCGTTTCGTTTTTGCTTTAAGATTGGTCATCAGATATATCAATTTCTTTTCCTTTTAAGTACAACACAAATCGTTGCTTACTGTTACAGCAACGATGGAAAGCCATAGATATATATAGGGCTAGTTTTGTTTCCTCTTCTATTCACTTTTAACTTATACTAGTAGGGTTTCATAATAAAGTATTGGATTGGATTCTCTAGAAAAAATGATCCAAGTTCATCTTATGCTTGTTTTCAGTCGTTAACCGTTTGCACGTTCCAGTAGCGAAAAATCACGTTTACGGGAGGTGCCGAAAGTTTCCGATTGCGTTTTCCCTCCAAGTAAAATATCAATCGGCAAACCTCGGGTGACTCCGCTACGCTCCATCATGAACGAGTCACCCGAGGAGTTCCGAGTGCAAGTCATATGCGAAAACATCGTTACGAAGCTATTTCCATCAGAGGAATGTGACTTTCATAAAAAGATATTATAATACATGTGTCATAACAGACTTAAATAAATCTAATCTGTTTCTGTGATCGCACACAACGTAAAGGTTTGGGATTACCAATTGCCATCCTCAGGGGATCGGATGACCTAGCATCAAGTCACTATAAACTATACTGAACAATGTGAAGTGACGGTTTATGTATGTTTAGAAACACGCAATGGGTGCTCCACTTTTACCGGGCGTTTGGTTGCCGTCTGCATTACCATACATCGGGTCGTGCTCATCACCAGTTCTAGTTTAGCCACGTCGCGCGCGGTCACTTTTGGTGGAAGGTTCGTAAAGACGATCTGTCGCTTATGTCTTTTAAATTATCTATAAGGACCACCTTTTTATAAAGACCAACACTATACATAAATACCACCTATAGGAAGCCGACTGTCATAACGGTCAACTTCTATACAGACTTCCAATATTAATACCACCTGTCTATAAAGAACATCCGTCTATGACCATTATTTTAACAATAGTCCAAATGGTTTTCTTTCAAAGGGAACATGTAAATAAAAAAATATTTGCCACTTTCTTAGTATAAAAGTTGTGACGTGTGTTGTAGATGAGCTTAATATGTGACGTCAGGTGTAGTAGATGAGCGTAATATGTGACGTCATGTGTTTTAGGTGTGCTTAACCTTTGCCGTCATGTTTTTCTAGGTGAACGTAACTTTTGACGGCATGTGTTGTAAGTGGGCGTTACCTTTGACGTCATGTGTTTAAGGTGAGCGTAACCAGTGACGTCATGTGTTCTATGTGAGCGTAACCTGTGACGTCATGTGTTCTAGGTGAGCGATGTCGGTGGATCCATGTTTATTCATGCTTTCGGAGCCTATTTCGGCCTGGCTGTGTCACGTGTCCTGTACAAAGAACCGCACGAGTCTTCGTCCAATCTTCGTGCCGGATACCTGTCCGACATCTTCGCTTTGATTGGTAGGTGGTCGTCTTGGTTACCATGGCCGTTACATAGTGTGTTACAACAAGGCCGGTATATACATGGCCTTAGGTATATTTCTTGATTTTGTTCAATTCTATCACGAAAAGATCACGACTAGTATCCAAAAAACTTTCTCATATTCTTATTCAAGTCGTGTTATGAAACCAACATTCTGGTTTGTGCGTTGGAATAAAAAAAGTCATCATTTAATCCGCCTCAGAATTCCAGACCATTCGGTCACGTACTTGTTTACGAGCCGCTGGTATATTTTATGACAAAATTGAAGGCGCTACCTATAGATAAATAATCCTTTGATGTTCACAAACAAATCTCACAGCAGCGTAACGGTCAATTTGCAAATTTGAAGGTTTTAAATTTAGATGTCGCGCCTAAGTAATCTTCAAACGACAGGTATCAGTCTAGTGATCGGTAAGATATCGAATAGCTTACCCCATGCCTTTGATTTTATCATAACATATTCTAGAGGTGCAGGGAACGAGACTGAGGGTAACCCCTAGATATCGAGGATGATGTTACATTTAACTTATCTTAAGCGAGATGTTTTACTTCCTTATTTTCAGACATGATTTTGCTGTGATACTTCAGACATGCTGTGTTGTTTCAGGTACAATATTTCTGTGGTGTTTTTGGCCGAGTTTTAACGGCGGCTTGGCCTCCGAGGACGGCAGACTGAGGGCTGTCATCAATACCGTAGCCTCACTTGTCGCCTGTGTCGTGGTTACCATGGCAATATCGTCCCTCCTCAGTCGGAGAGGCAACTTCGAGATCGTAAATATTAAGATATTCTTTAAAGAATATGGCTATATGTGATTTTTCTGGCATTGTTATCCATCATTGTCCGCGCATAGTATATTCCTGACTTTGTTTCTTTGGTTTTTGTAATGGCTGGATCACTTGGTATTGTATTGTAAGGAAGTTTAGATGATATTTTGAACAAAATATTGTTGATGCCCCCGCCATAAAATCGCGTCCCGTGATCAAAGTGTGGGTTTAACTATTTATAGAACGTCCATAACTGGAGCAGCTAATTTCACATGGTGAAGGGAGCATCCATGTCTTGCATACGTTTTCTAGTTTAAATCATTAAAGCGATCCGCAGATTCTTTACAGGGGAAATAAGGGATTCATGGTAGAATATATGGAGTTTTGTCTCTCCGGTTAGTACCACTGTGCTTCATGGGTAGGACTATTTACAGTTGTCTCTCTGTCAAGTATATAAAACAACGCGAGAATACCCAAGTATCAACAAAACAAATCAGTTCTTCTCTTTCCATGCAGAAGGTAAATGCTACTGGGTGTAAAATATTCTCGGGAACAAAAATATTCCGAGTCACCAGCAGTGACACTCGCCCAGTGGTACAAACACAACAAGTGGATAGCGAAGTGTCAACAAAGCCCATTTTCTGTGGATTCAGAGAAACTGTTTTCTCTGAAATATTTTGTTTCCTCATCAAATACCACTGTGACTGCAGAGTAAAGATCAATATTAAAGGATGTCTCCATCAATTAAGTTGTTGACACTTCGATGATGAATATATTTTCTACGTTTAGCTTGAAATACGCGATTAAACTATCATGCCAATTAATATATATACATGTATGTTTGTGCTGTAAATACGTTTTAATTAGAATATTTGCGAAACATATAACGTATCGTCATTGTTAATTGTTTGATTACCAAATTGACCGAATAACCGGTTACTCGTTCGGCAGATTGTGCGAGTAACCAGTTACCAAACTATGACCGGTTTGACAACACTACTGTAAAAACAATGGTAGGGTCACTTTTGAAAGTTCTCTCAAATACAACTGTTATGGGAAAAATCAGCAATAAAAATGTTGCAGACAGATCACTCTCTCTCTACATCAGAATCTGACGTGTACAAGTCACAATTATGGACTGAAATATGCATTTGTCATTTTCCTAGAGTCATTTGCAAAACGCCTCTCTTGCTGGTGGCGTTGCTGTTGGTACCTGTGCCAACATGCCGATCAAACCTTGGGGAGCCATGGTGCTGGGGACGATAGCAGCTCTTGTGTCAACCCTCGGGTACAAATACGGCAGTGTAAGTATAACAATACACGCCGACAGAACATCGACCTTCGTCAGGGAGACGAAACCCTCATGGGTGGAGTCATGTAGGCGATAAACCCTTCAACCAACCAACCATAACATTACAAACACATTTTTTTTTTACATCGGATGATGATAACTACGTAAAAATACAAATGTAAAATCTGAAGTTGATGTAGAAAGCAAAAGTAAACATATTCAACAGTTTCATGATCAATAAACAGATCAGGTTTCTTAAAAAAACATGTCTTCCTTCATTATCTTCCCTTTTAATTCAACTCTTCCCAGGAGATTACCTCCTTCATGTCACGTGTATCCTGTGGGTAGTATTACCCAATTTATCTGTTCTTTTCATAGTCTCATCTATTCTTGTACTATGTTATGTTATGTAACTCAAGCGACCTTATGAATACACGGTATTCATATCATCTATGGCATGTTTGGTTGTAGTCTCGTTCAACCAGACGCTTAATCACTTGTAATTCAAGACTCGGCGTAGATTCCGCAGACAACAAGAGTCTGGTTGAACGAGACTAGTTTGGTTTTTGATTACATGACACTTTCAACTGCAGTTGTCTTCTTTATTCAATCCATTGCATGTGTTATGGATTGGGGAATGCTTGGCTGTCTTTAATTGTGAGAGGATAAAAATCACTTTATTTCCGGAAAGAGAACGACATATCTAAACAAAGAACCAACATAACAAAATAAAAAAACAAATCCACGTTTAAAGAGGGAAGGTTTTAGGGTTATCATCATTCAGAGTCATGTGTAAATGTTATTCACATCACGCATTTTAAGGGTAGATACTGTTTTTATATACAAATAATATTTTCTTCAATTTCTCAAAGAAGTAGATGTTTAGTACCACAGAAACCATAAAAAAATCTGTCGGTATACCATTACAAGCGATTAACTTTGATAATAAATACTTACCATGCCATAAACATATCACATTATAGCATATCATAAACCCTTCCATTTAGACATAGTATACCGCGTTGTAGGATTTCTTGGCAGCCAAAATGAAAGTCCACGATCCGGCTGGCATCAATAATTTGCACGGCATGCCGGGAGTTTTGGCAGCAATTGCAGGAGCCGCCATGGCAGCGCTGGCAACGAAAGACAACTTTGGTGACAGGTGAAAAAATAGGTGTATGGCTATCAGAAATTGATTGTAAAAGGTGTTTATTTATCTTGCCTTGACTACTTCAACGCCTTTAACTCTGAGAAAAACACTCGATACACGTATTTTGAATTCTCATAAATATTTCTTGAATTTTTTAATTTTTTTCATATATCACATTATTCATAGGTTTGGTTCAAAGTGATATAACACAGGGACATCTTGTCCGTCTTTTTTTGTAGAAGTGATCAACACGTCGACTTCAGTCATCACAACAGGTGTTAAACTGAGGTCTTTTACGTTATGTATTCGTCGAAATGCCTTCAGTATATTTAAGCATTGGTGTATTGAATCAAACGCACCCCTCCCGTTAGGTCGTTGTCAGATCTGACATTGTAGTATTTTGTTGATTGTTTGCTCTTTTTGGGACCAGTCTGTACGACATCTTCCCGGCCCGGACGCCGAGTATCATCAACGGTACCGTGTACGCAGAAGACCGCACGGCTATGGAACAGGGCGGGTACCAGATTGCCGCCCTCGTCACAACAATGACGGTGGCTATAGTCGGCGGACTCCTAACGGGGAAGTAAAAGATGGCCGCCCTCGTCACAACAATGACGGGGGCTATAGTCGGCGGACTCCTAACGGGTAAGTAAAAGATGACTGCTCTCATCACAACAATGACGGTGGCTATAGTCGGCGGACTCCTAACGGGTAAGTAAAAGATGGCCGCCCTCGTCACAACAATGGCGGAGGCTATACTCGGCGGACTCCTAACGGGTAAGTAAAAGATGGCCGCTCTCATCACAACAATGGCGGAGGCTTTAGTCGGCGGACTCCTAACGGGTAAGTAAAAGATGGCCGCCCTCGTCACAACAATGACGGAGGCTATAGTCGGCGGACTCCTAACGGGTAAGTAAAAGATGGCTGCTCTCATCACAACAATGGCGGTGGCTATAGTCGGCGGACTCCTAACGGGTAAGTAAAAGATGACTGCCCTCATCACAACAATGACGGTGGCTTTAGTCGGCGGACTCCTAACGGGTAAGTAAAAGATGACTGCCCTCATCACAACAATGACGGTGGCTTTAGTCGGCGGACTCCTAACGGGTAAGTAAAAGATGGCTGCTCTCATCACAACAATGGAGGTGGCTATAGTCGGCGGACTCCTAACGGGTAAGGAAAAGATGACTGCCCTCATCACAACAATGGCGGAGGTTATAGTCGGCGGACTCCTAACGGGTAAGTAAAAGATGACTGCTCCCATCACAACTATAACTGTAACATATAATTAACGAATGGTCGCCTTCATCTTAACCGTGAAAGTGACTTAAGTAAGTCGGACTCCAAACAGGAAGTCAAGCAAACCTTCACAGCAATGGCAGAGCTATATAACAGATGTGATGGTGCTAGTTCGGTGACTCCTACTGAGTAACTAACTTATTACAGCTCTTGACACAACTATGGCGGAGCTATTTAACATATGTGATAGTGCTATTTTGGTGAGTCTTTCTGGGTAACTTACATATTACAGTCACGGGTGTATATATATTGTAGATGTGATGGTTCCAGGTTGGCGACTCCTCTAATCACAACTATAATTGTGCATAGAGTCACGGAACTGATGTTGGCATAGAGTGATGGTACTGATGTTGGCATAGAGTCACGGTACTGATGTTGGCATAGAGTCACGGTACTGATGTTGGCATAGAGTCATGGTACTGATGTTGGCATAGAGGGTTGGTACTAATGTTGGCATAGAGTGATGGTACTGATGTTGGCATAGAGTCACGGTACTGATGTTGGCAAAGAGTCACGGTACTGATGTTGGCATAGAGTCATGGTTCTGATGTAAGCATAGAGTCATGGTACTGATGTTGGCATAGAGTAATGGTACCGATGTTGGCATATAGTCATGGGACTGATGTTTGCATAGAGTCATGGTACTGATGTTGGCATAGAGGGATGGTACTAATGTTGGCATAGAGTGATGGTACTGATGTTGGCAAAGAGTCACGGTACTGATGTTGGCATAGAGAGATGGTACTGATGTTGGCATAGAGTCATGGTACTTTTGTTGGTATAGAGTCATGGTTCTGATGTTGGCATAAAGTGATGGTACTGATGTTGGCATAGAGTCATGGTACTGGTGTTGGCATAGAGTGATGGTATTGATGTTGGCATAGTGTCAAGGTACTGATGTTGGCATAGAGTCACGGTACTGATGTTCGCATAGAGTCACGGTACTGATGTTGGCATAGAGTGATGGTAGTGATGTTGGCATAGAGTGATGGTACTGATGTTGGAATAGAGTCACGGTACTGATGTTGGCATAGAGTCATTGTACTGATGTTGGCATAGAGTCATGGTACTGATGTTTGCATAGAGTGATGGTACTGATGTTGGCATAGAGTCATGGTTCTGATGTAAGCATAGAGTCATGGTACTGATGTTGGCATAGAGTAATGGTACCGATGTTGGCATATAGTCATGGGACTGATGTTTGCATAGAGTCATGGTACTGATGTTGGCATAGAGTAATGGTACCGATGTTGGCATATAGTCATGGGACTGATGTTTGCATAGAGTCATGGTACTGATGTTGGCATAGAGTCATGGTTCTGATGTAAGCATAGAGTCATGGTACTGATGTTGGCATAGAGTAATGGTACCGATGTTGGCATATAGTCATGGGACTGATGTTTGCATAGAGTCATGGTACTGATGTTGGCATAGAGGGTTGGTCCTAATGTTGGCATAGAGTGATGGTACTGATGTTGGCATAGAGTCATGGTACTTTTGTTGGCATAGAGTCATGGTTCTGATGTTGGCATAAAGTGATGGTACTGATGTTGGTATAGCTTGATGGTACTGTTGTTGGTCTAGAGTGATGGTACTTTTGTTGTCATAGAGTCATGGTACTGTTGTTGGTCTAGAGTGATGGTACTTTTGTTGGTATAGAGTCATGGTTCTGATGTTGGTATAGATTGATGGTGCTGATGTTGGTATAGATTGATGGTACTGCTGTTGGTATAGAGTGATGGTAGTGGTGTTGGCATATAGTCAATGTACTAGTCATGGTACTGATGTCGGCATAGAGTCATGGTCCTGGTGTTGGCATAGAGTGATGGTATTGATGTTGGCATAGTGTCAAGGTACTGATGTTGGTATAGATTGATGGTACTGATGTTGGTATAGAGTGATGGTACTGATGTTGGCATATAGTCATTGTACTCATGTTGGCATATAGTCAATGTACTTATGTTGGCATAAAGTCATGTTACTGCTGTTGGCATAGAGTCACGGTACTGATGTTGTCATAGAGTTACGGTACCGATGTTGGCATAGAGTTACGGTACTGATGTTGTCATAGAGTGATGGTACTGATGTTGTCATAGAGT